ATATGAGAAACTGAAAAAACGGAAATAAAGTGTTTGTAAATGGGGAGGGGAGGAGGGGGTGAAGGGAGGGCAGGGACAAGGGGAAAAATGAGAATCAAGACCTGTCATGTAAAGGTACAGAATCCCAATGATGAATGTAATTGTATTGTATACCTAGATTGTACCAATAACCTCAATAAAAAGGAAAAAAAAAGACTACCAATTATTTTTTTTAATTGAGTATTTCCAATTTTTAAAAAGTGAGAATAGTCAGTCTCAGATTTTTTTCCCCAGTACTGTCAAAGGCAGAGCAGAGCCTAGACTACCAGTAGGGGCGTCACTAGACATCCAGGGGCAGCCAGTAGACAGCGCTAACATTTTACTGTGTTTGAAGGCCTTAAAAATTATTCACCTACATTTTACGCTATAATAAATTCACACTTGTTTTACAATGAAATGTTACAACCTATTTGTTCAATAAAATTTTGTATATCTTATTCAAAAATTTTGCAGAGACAGCCACTCGAGGGAAGAGGTACCTGTGGACACTGTCTCATCTGACAGCCCTATCCACCAGTTCTCTGGGGTGAGAGGCCTGGACACTATTCCTGTGCTGACCCAAACACACAGCTCAGGAACATGTGGTAAAGAGGACCAGGTATCCCCAAGGCTCAGGACACATCTGCTGGCCATGCCTGGGACATGGCCAAGGAACACCTGCCAGCCCCCATGCTGCTTACCCAGGGACTCTGTGTCCTTCTGGTCAGAGTTCTTGCACACCACAGCTGGATATGTGACTGTTAGTTTGCTGTTGTGTTCCTTTCGGACAACTGACCGCCCAGTCCTGCACATAAGGACAGTTGTGATTGAGGAGAGAGACAAATCCCAACAAGACATGTAACAATGACTCTGAGGGACTGACCAGAGCCTTCTTACCTAGGGAAATAGGTAGCGCCCTGATACTCACTTGCAATGGGGACATCGCTTAGCTGTCATATGTGCCTTCCAGAAGTAAGCAATGAGTTTGCTCCTGCTCTCGCACACATTCTTCACCTGTTAAAAAGTCAGAGAACCCTGGAGTGCCATTTTGAAGAAAACCCTATTTGTATTCCTTCCGTGGTTTTTAAGTTGTACTTTTAACTAGAGGAAACTACCCTTACTTTCATAAAATTTCCCAAAGAAGCTAGAGTGACACTCAGTGGTAGAGACCCTGGCACCATCAAAAAACAAAAAACAAAAAAAAAAACCCCACAGTCCTCTGATATAGCCAAGCTGTGCCAATTACTGAATGACTTCTTTAAACCTTAACTTCTCATTCATAGTAAAGAATAATAATAGAACTATGTTATAAAGCTGTTACTAAGATGAAGAGGGCATGAATGTAGTAGTACCAATCTAGTAACACTCAGTAAGTGCTAGTTACTTTAAACTGTAAAACAAAGCTCTTGGGATGCAGCTAGGTTCCCAGCCTGCTGCCTCCCTCAGATGGACCTAGGGCTAAGGAAGGCACAACCACAGTGGTTCTGTGCCTGTATATAAATGGATTTCATTGAGCTTTTGTAACTCAACATGGGCCTCACCCTAGAGTAACTAAATCAGAACTTCTAGGTAAAACCTAGCCATGAGGTGAATCACACTTCAAGATCAGTACTGTGGTCTATTATCCACACCGTTCATTACACAGGTCCTACGGAGGAGACTGAGATAATAGTGGTTTAAAACATGTCAGAGAAAGAAGAAAAGGACACAGACACCATTCTCAAAGCAGGTGCTTGCTGGATGCTACACTTACTTAAATAGCCTAACGTCACCAAATTGTCTCATTGGTTATGAGGTTGAGATGGGAAAACAGACTGAAAGGTCACAGACTCCTCAGAGGCAAAGTCAGGATTTAGGCCCAGGTTTACCTATGGGAGCCCAAATCATATGCAAATGACACTACCAGGGAACAGTGATAATTACACTAAAAACAGGCTTACAGAAAAAGAGGCAGTAGAACTCACATGTGCACCCTGCGCCCCCAAGAGGTTGTTCTGCACAATTTTGGCTGTGTATTGCTCTAATTCTTCTTGAATTTCAAAAGCAGAAGGATCAGCATTTTCTTCTAGAAACTGAAAACAAAGAGAAATCTGTGTTAGTGCATTAAAGTCAGTACATATCTGATACGCACCACCCCTAAGGCCAGCCTCTTCATGGGGAACAGAAATTAGCCTGAAGGGAGAAAAAGAGACTATGACTGCTGCAACGAATACCTTGCTTCAATAATGGTGAACTGCACTATTCAGACCAAACCTGCAAAGACTGGAAAGAACCAAGATGGGATAAAACACTTTAAAAATCTTAACCCTCAGAAAGACTGACAGATAGTGAGGGCAAACTGGGCCAAACAGAAATCTCTTAAGGTCAAGGAGTACAAGGGCTGCAGCTGGACAAATGCAGGGTGTCACTCAGTACACCACGTGCCTCTGTGGATGAGACTAACAGATATCCTTAAGGCTCCCTGGAGCTCTGTGACATGGTAGCCCTGGCCTTGGGCACATTTTCCAATTCAGCAATTCTGAAGTTTTCATTTCAAAGCCCTCAAACATGTAGGAATCTGAAGCTATTTAAAAGGATAGGAATCTAAAAGGATACTAACACAGAAACACAATAAAAGGAGGGCCCAAAAGCTGTACCTTCAGGAAGTGCCGGTCCTTGAATAATGGCTCAGGTAGTCCAGGGAGTCTTAAACTTTGAACCTGGACTATGGTGGCCCCAAGTTGGTAATGCCATCAACCATGTGGCAGAAGCAATGAGTATCCTCTCTGGAGAAAGGCAGCATCATCCTAGGGCTCAAACTATATCCACCACAAAATTTAACAGTGCACCAGGAGGCTGAGGCAGGAGGATCACTGTGAGTTCGAGACCAGCCTGGGCTACATAGTGAGTTCCAGGTCAGTCTCAACTACATAGTGAAACCCTGTATCCCCAGTACCAAAAAAAAAATAAAAAAAAAAAAAAAAAAAAAAAAAAAAAAAAAAAAAAGTTTACAGCGCAGTCATAGCCAAAACTAAGTATGTTATTAAAAAGGAAGAGGAGGGCTGGGGATTTAGCTCAGTGGTTCTGCTGTCTGCCTTGCAAGCACAAAGACCCTAGTTTGATCCCCGGTACCAAAAAAAAAAAAAAAAAAAAA